CACAGCAGCACCCCACCCAACCGGCCAGATCACTCTCCGCACACGCCAGCCCCCCCCTCCCCCCCAACCCCTACCAGACCATACCATTGGGGGGGCGGGGGGGGGGGGCCGGGAACGCCAGACGCCTGACCATATATACACAAATCAGCTCTGACTCAAGGCAAGCTTGTACCCAGAACGAACTCTGCCACCTACGACAATAGAGCTGAAGTTTAAAGCAGAATCGGTGATTGTGTAGCTACATGTAACCGTTAGAAATTGTTCTGGAATAAAGCCAACAAGAGCATACATGGGAAAAATCCAATTATTCAACGCCATCGTCCGATTCACTTTACTCTGTCGGCCCCTGGGTTAGAATGTGTGTAGCTAACTAACGCTGCACCCTCAACCCTGATTGCTTTTGAAAAAATGGTTGCGAAGACTTTTGCACTTCCCGCCCACATTCATTGCCAGAGCGCAAGTCAATGTTGGTATGTGTGTTAACGGCCAGCGATTTTGGATGGTCTTTTGAGCGCTCTGCGGATACACGGTGTAAGACACTGCCAACTTTTTTTGACACATGTTGAAATCAAGTCCTGCAGATTCCCGAGTTGAAGTCCATTCAGAACAGACGGGTTGACACCAAGAGCTCCCACAAGAAGACGGCCAGGCAGCCCAAAGCAGGTTGGACCACCAAAGTGCACAAAGATGCATGTAGAATGCTACACAGAGATGGTCACAAAAAGCCAACAATAAGCAACAGTCAATTGAGATCAAACAGTCGGTGATAAGTCGTGGAGTGAATCGTGAAGGACACTTTTGCCGTGTAGCACGAAGTCTTTACATATAATCCCAAAGGCCATCGGCCTCTCGAGGTATTCCTCTCAGTAATCTCGTCAGCTTTGCTTGGCGAGTGTGGTGCCAGTTTTTCTATGTTCGAAACTGCAGAGCTACCTGCTACACGTCAAACATTGTCGTGTTGTCCGTCTACTCGTGCTCTGCCTTTTTCACAAGCCTGTTGGTAGCCCTCCTGCGGACAGAAGAAATGGACGTAAGACAGCAAGTGGACTGAGGACAGTGTCATGGCCGAGGCCCCGCGTTCGAATCGCAATGCAGTCGACATGCAACAGAGAAACAGCTTGTTGTTTACATGCCTCATCCGTGTGAGAGGTGATCGTGAAGTACATGAAGGCCAGGCAAGGCTGCAATGCATGAGATGGGGATATCTATTGTTTGCGTACCTAGACGGCACAAGGTGCAACGTTCCGTGGTGTTCGTACATGTTGCGTAGATCGTGGCGGCGATTCTGGCATATGTTCAAGCTTGAGCGGTCCAGTGCTGGATGGCTGCTACAGCACCTGGTGCCTTGTTTAAGCAAAACGGCCGGATCGATCACCCACCGACCGATTCCTGCAGCTGCAGGAGCACAGATGAACTCCTCGACATGAAATTTTAGGAGTCTTTTCATGACTCCTATGGCTGTGTTAACACAACGGGAGCCCCCACATGCAGGGATGGTGAACTGTTCTGAGAATTTGGACAGGCCATCGCCATGGAAGGGCAGAAGGGCCAGAAGGTCACTGTCATTGCATCCATACATCAGCCATCGTCACAGGCGGCTCATCGGCAAACGCTCTGCTCAGACACGGCCATCAGAAACGTGCTTGCTTGCTTGCGGAATGAGGTCTTCCGGCTTTTTGATCGTCTCCACTTCCTTGTCGACGGAAGAACCGCTTTCTTTGGTCCGGCCAAGCAGCTGGAAGCATACTTCTCGAGCATCGGGTACCCGATGCCTGATCACACCATGCCTGCCGATTTTGTGATGAAGCTGCTCTTCAGTTGCACTTCATTGGCAATTTTTGGAGTGTGTGGTGAATTCCTGTGTCACAAGGTGCATTAATCCGCGGGATCCAGACGGTGCTGCAAGCCGGCGTATCGCAATCGGACTCCTGGCAGCATTCCGCTGACTTAGGGCAGGCCTGGCCCAGCTTCAGGCCGTGTGCGTTTCAGAATCTTCCGCTACAGAACGATTCACTTCAACCCCAACCCGTGGAAAGTCTAGGATTGCTTGTAGCTGAGGGAGCCAATTGAAATGGCAAACTCAGACGAGGAACATGTTGATGTTAAGCACGAAGATGACCCCTTGTTCTACATGAAACCCCATTTTCCAATCATCTTCAGTGACAGCACCGGCAAGGTGACGCATGGGAGAAGCAATGGCCCAATGACTCTCAGCTGATACTACATGACATCCTGCTACACAAAGCACTCGAGTTCCAAGTAGCTTCATTGCGAGGATGATGCTCGTGCGAATGATGCCCCGATCAAGATCATGGGCAAAGATGCGGCCGTGCTGCAAGCAGGAGCAGTTGAACATGCTGTGGTGAGATTGTTGACCTCGTCAGGCCGTTTCTGAAAGCCCAGACGATGATCGTGGCAGAAACTGCTTTCTGCAGCTGATCCAGATGACGAAGCGTGAGGACGCTCAGCCAAGGTTTATTTTGATGGCCAGAGGTCGCGATGATTCACAACGTGTGACCACACTTCGCTTACATGTGACCACACTTCGCTTACAGTAACAGACACATCCGCAAACGTGCATCCGAACTGTCATCCTGGTTGTGCTTAGGGGGTTTCAGTCTTGGTAGTAACTTTTAATGCAACGTCAAGTTGATGTCGAGGAGCCCAAAAGCAAAGGTGTAGGCCCATAGGCCCATCTGTCAAGTTTCTGTTCCCTTGATAAGTCCAGCCAGCTGCCTTCGACCGGGCCCTGCAAGAAGTTGCCCCGGTGCGGCGGGCCAAATGGCTTGAGACATTATGGCCTTGGCTGGAGGGTGTTGCCTGTGCACCGGAGGTGATCATGAAGACACGTGCGAAAGCAGAATTGCGATCATCTGTGATCCGGACAATTGTTCTGGGGTTGATCTTCGGCCTCACCTTCTTTCAGATCGAGAAGACCCAAACGGAGCCTCGGCCATGCTGGTTTGCATCCGGACTGCTTTCTGACTGTCACGACATGGTGTTTTGCTGAGACATGCGCAGGCCCTCTTCGCACTGAATGGCTGTATTTTCTTTGTCCCAGCCCAAGACCGCCGCGGCAGAAGCGGCACACGGCTTCGAGTCGATCCATGAATGGGAAACTGTCCAAGGTCATGATGATGCAGGTGATGAACACAGCAGCTTGCCTCTAGAGTCGGTATGGCGAGCACATGGGGTCCATCACCAAGCGTAAGCTGTCGACCCCCTCAGTGCTCTGTTGGTGCACTTGCCTCGCAAAGCTATCTAAGTGTATGGGTGGTGCCATGGGCATCCCAACGCGCCTGCCCACATTGATCCGTGAACACCGAAATGGAGCGTATTCGGTCGGCTTCTGAGCGTAGCAACTCTGACCATGGCCATGGTGCGTGCTTGTGCTCTTGCGGTCTGAGGTTCCCTCAATCTACATCAGTAAGTTCCTCGCGGACTTGCCCTTTGATTTTGGAGTGCTCCTCCCTGCAAGAAGGGCACAGCACGGAAAACACATGTGCGGCATCAGATAGGGAAAACTTGTCCTAGGCTTGTAGGTTGTTCTGAGTCTACTAGTGACTTCAATTATCTTTTGACTGAACGTGTGCAGTCTCAGATTGCCCTTCTCTGGTCGACGATGCTGTTCTGGATGGTGGGATTCCGAAGCTCCTTTGAGAGACTGAGTCCAAATGGCCAGGCTATGTCTGAAAGCTTGAATCGAAGGGAAGGCTTTGGGTTAGCCGAGCTTTTTCTGTTTGCAGCAAGGAACTTCTTCTGGTTCTTCTTTACAATCTATCTCCTCACTTCTGTTGCCACTGGCATTGGCTACTTGGGCGGCTACGTTGCGCCAATCGGGGCCGTGGGAATGCTCCTGTTCTCGACTAGTCACGAGTCTAGCAACTTGTAGGGCAACTGGCGGGAATCGACTATCCAAGGCTTGTGGTGCTTCTCAACGTCATGCCTCAGATCCTGGACAAATTTCAAGAGTAAACAGTTAGTGTGAACCGCTGACAGCCATGATGCCGAAGAGGGCAGATGAGGGCAGCAAAGCGCAAAGCAGTGTGATATCCGAGTTGAGGATGATGATGGGGGGCCTCTTCATCAATTTAGACTCCGTTCCTGTCGGGCTGGTATGGCTGAAAGCAATCTCGATGTTCCGTCACAGCTTCGAGGCACCATTGCTGCTTTCAGTGACTGAGTTCAACGGTCTGATGGGCGCAGGCTTTGATGATCAACCAGTGGCAAGACTTTGGCGACCTGCCATGCGATGGGCCGTGCATCGCGCAAAACGGAGAGGAGGTCTTGGCGTGGAGCGGAATCAATCCCGACACAGCTAGCTTCTTCCAAGCATTCGTGCTATCACCATGACTTTTCCAGCATGTCAGTCACTATGTCTGAGCGAGGGCACATTCCGGAACCCAGGCTACATGGTGTCAATGTTGTACCTCCTGATTCCGCTTTGCCTCTCGTCGGATGCAGGAGCGCCGAAGTGCCTCTATCGATTCCTGCGAAGGGTCTCTACAAGTATGTCGGCTGTGTGCTGTTCTTTGCCAAACTCTTGCTTCTGAGGCTGCTATCACAGCTTGGCTTTCTTTCTGCTGATGCGTCGGGCACGTCCTCGACAGTTCGAGGGTGCTGCCCCAGAAGATGACACAAAGGGGGAGCTGCGCCGTGACTAAGCTTGAACAGCTTTAAAAGTGGCTGCAGCCACGGTGGCCTGTTCAGAGCTTGCATGTGAGGCCAAGACGAAGAAAAGCCAAAGTTGACTGACATTCCTCGGCCTGAGCTGTTGATGGCTTGGGAGAAGCTGACCATAGATGTGCAGCGAAACGAAACCGGGAAGGTGCAGCCGCTTGCTTCAATCACCTTCAACCACTCGGAACCTGGTCATGTCCGAAAACATGCGCAACATGGGCACCACTTTTCCCCGCCGAGGACTTGTCGGATTCTGGATGGCCCGAGCGGTCACCTCGAGCCGGGTCAGCTCACGGCGATTATGGGGCCCTCGGGTTCTGGGAAGTCGACGCTCTTGAAGTCCATTGCGGGCATCGGCGAGCTTCCGTTGTTGCCAGGACCCTCTGAACATCCCTGAGCCGCATTGAGACTCACAACTTGCAGGATCCAGTGTGAAGATCAACGGTGGGGAGTGGACGCCGGAAATGCGCGATCACAGCGGATTTCTCTTTCAAGATGAGCAGCTGTTTGCAGGACAGGGGTTCTCCAAAGTGCGCTGGAAGAACCTTTGAGGGGTCTGAGCTTCGAGCTTCGCAGGACTCACTGTCCGGGAGCACCTGCTCTTCCAATGCCGATTCCGTATAGGAGTTTTCTCGAAAGCTGAAAGCGAGCAGCGGGTTGATGCGCTGATCACGGAGCTCGGACTGGCAAAGTGCAAGAACACTCTCATCGGCAACATTGGAGCGGGAATTTCAGGCGACGAGAAGTGAGACTTCGCTGTTTTCTGCTTCCCGAGAAGCGAAGCCCTGCTAGAAGATGAGAATTGCTGAGTTGTACCCTTACAAGGTGGTGAGCGGCGGCGCCTGGCCTTCGCTACGGAGCTGTTGACTGAGCCTTCGGTGCTTTTCGCTGACGAAGCCACCAGTGGTTTGGATTCTGCCATGGCGCGGCTTGACCTAATGATATCTTTGATAACTTCTGGTCCGGTACACATCTCTCGGGCTGTGCTGAGGTACAACGTATGCAAGATGTTACGGGACTTCGCACGAGGCGAGGGTTCCGGACGGAAGCGCACAGTCTTCGCGACGATTCACCAGCCGAGTGAGGAGGTGTTCAATCTGTTTGACAAGGCCGAAGATCGCTTCGCTTGCCTGGGGGTTGATGTAGTCGATGGTTTCCGATGGCATAAGTTGACAGCGGACAGGTGCTGATCTTGGTGGACGGCGCAGTCGTTTATCATGGGGCGCCTTCTGATGCCCTCGCACATTACCAGGCGCTGGGCCTGGCTTGCCCACATGACGAAAGCCCTGCTGACTTCTTTATGCGATGCGTGGCCGTAAATGCCGGCGAAGAGGCCGCACGGGAGGAGGCCCGATTGAACGTGAAGAAGCTCCAGCAGGCCGTACAACAGGTCGATGCCCCCAAGGTGCCACAAGACCAAGCCTCGGACAAGTCGTTGAAGAGCTCAGCCTTGGGAGCATTGGGAGCACTTGTGCAGCGTGAATTTCTGTTGCGCCGCCGAAGCAAGATTCTCTTCAAGGCGGTGCTTGCACGGACCCTTCTGATGGCCGTTCTCTTCGGTTCGCTCTATTGGCAAATTCCCAACAATCAGGCCTCCTGGCAAAGTATCATGGGCTTGCTTAACATGATGATGATCAACACCTTCATGACGGCCGGCTTCGGCCTCACGCAAGAACTGCCGCTGGCTTTGCGACCTGCATTCCGTGAGACCACTGCCGGCCGCTTGCTGATACAGAAGCTAAGCAAGGCTAGGACTAGGCAGAATCAATTCAGTTTTCTCTAGTAGTGGCCGCTGTCTGCTGATCCTCCTTCCTCTGCTTTACGTCGCCCTCAGCCTCTCACCAAACTTCTCCTGTTCTTGACATTTCTTGACACCAAAAAATGCGCAGCCATTCATGTGCATATTCAGGGTCGATTTGGGCTTGCTTGAAGCATGCTAAGAGTACCTATCATGTGTGTACATGCGACATGGCCACACGTATCCATGCATCCATCCTTCCCTCAGTCCGTCTGTCCGTCCGTCCGTGCATACATAATCAACGCTAACACAGAGAAAAAACATAATAAGTTTCTTTGACAACAGCCACTTATTTTGGCAGTGCCATCGTCAAGAAATTTAGACACAGGTGAGGTGCCGAGGCGGTGGTGGCCTAGGCCTAAGGTAAAACAAGGTGCCCTCTCCCGTGCAATGCCGTGCGATATCTTCTTTGCTCTGATCGCACCGCCTGTGTAAGATTGTGTAAGTTTTCCGTTGTCACTTACGTGCCCAGGCATGTACTCCATCTCTGCATGGTTTTGGTCCAAAGTGATTGGTGATTTCCCTGTGGATACTCTGGCTCCCTTCATCCTCTCCTCGACGGTGTTCCTCATGACAGGGATTGGCAAGACTGGCGAGTCGACTCTTGGCACTGCTTGGCCGGTTCTCCTATCTTTGAAAATCAACTCGTTCTGTGTCCCTTAAATGCGGCTGAGCTGACCCTGAGTCAACAAAAGTGTGGCTGAAGCCAGGTACGCCATGTTTGTGCTGATGTCGGTGCTAGTTTCCCACATCGGCGCTGCTTGGGGCTATCTTTGCAGCATGATTGGCGGCAGAATTGAGTATGCTTTCGCGACATTTCTGCTGACAATCTTCCCTTTCTTGACATTCAACGGCCCCTGGTTGGCAAAAGCCAGCATCGAGGAGAGTGCAGGAGTGTCGTGAAACCTGTGCGAACTCATGAGGGCCTCACTTAGAATTTGGTGGTGCTTCTTTGCTGGAAAGGTTTCTTGATCACCACCGATGACATCCCCGTGTACTTCAGGTGGATTGAAGTCATCGGCCCTTTCAAACCGATCTTCTCGGAGCTCCGCAGCTGCATCAGTGACACATGCATGTGCTGTGTGCCACTGGACAACCTCAGCCATTCCAGTGTGCCTTCTTTGGGAAATACTTCTTGGCGAGCGAGCGAGGTATGCCTTTGCAATCTGGGGCAGCCGCGGTGATCTTGAATGTTTTCCGACTTCTAAGATGCGGTGCTGGCTTCTGCTTGTTTAGCGTGTCGGGTTTAGCGCCGGGCAAGGCTTCCATGTGTTAGGACAAACTGAAGTGACTGAAGTGGTGGTCATCGTTGCTCGCTTCTGGTATCGTCGTCTCCGATCCAACCCCAAGGCTAAGCCTGCACGGATCCTGCAAAACAGTAATAGTCTTGTGCAGAACGACTCGGCTGCTGCGCCAACTTTTTGTGATGTTGGAATGCCGCTTCTCACGACATGTGGTCGCGATCTGAATTACTGTGATTCGCCTGTGGACTTGATACCGGGATTAGATTTGCGCGAGCTGCACCGAGATTCTGCAGTGCATGTCGTGCTGCGTCTCTGACCAGTGAGCATGGGAGTGGCAGCACAGGTCCATCTCGCCCATGCCTAGAGAACGGAGACGCCGTGCTGTCTTTCTTTGGTGGCGCGATTGCAGTCCAAGGGTAAACCGCGTCCGCACAGTGAAGCTGGCTGCTTGATCGGATGATCTCCATGTCAAGGCTTGCGGCGAGAAGACCAGCCCACAAACTGGGCGAAGCTTGTATGCAACTGTGTGCTCGTGTCATCGATTCGATCTCATGCTGAATCTATGGTTAGGCATGTTTAGGGCTTAGGCTTGGGGATCTCAGGCAGGGAAGCGGCAAGGCAAGTGTCCTACGAGTACCTCGAGTTTCATGCTGTGGAACTGCCGAGGATAATCATTGGCTACCTCGTAGGAGCACGATTGCTGGCATGGATGGTTCTGCTGCTGCTTGGGGCTGCAAAGCTTATGCATACATGGACCATGGATGCAGTCCAAAAATGCAACAGGTCGCACATCCTAGAAAACATGATGTCAGGCGCTCCCCATCCACCACACATGCGGTGGCATTTCAGGTGCTTTGTATCTAGGTCGGCTACCGCCTCAGGCTTCGTGTGGAGATCTCGAACCGGCGGCTCCACAACCACCAGCGGAAGGCATATAGTAAGAAGGTGACAGCTTCAGCTTCACCGGATGATGCTGACATCTTGAACGAGTCTTGGCTAGTTACTAGTGCACACTAGTTTTGCTGTTTGATGTTCAACTGCTCGCCAGCTGTATTGGCAGCAGTGGCTTCAGAAGTGTCTCTTTGTCGCGATGCAGCTGGTAAGGCGTGAGTCGATTTGATGACCGTCCCATCGCAGACGGTGTTGCAGCATCCCCACGTGTAGCATACAACATTTCAAGACTTGCAACCGCAACTGGGCTTAAAGCTGAGCCCCCTTGGGAATCAGGGGGGTGGTTCCTCGCAAGTGTTTTTGCTCTTGATGAGGCTTCCTTGCTTGAAGGAAGTCGTACGATTTTCGAGCTGCAGGGGCTCGTGTGGTGGTTCCTCCGTGTCCGAACTTTTCCAGCCATGTTGTAGACATGAGCGATAATCGCCGGGCACTTCCTGGGGCTTGCCCGCATGAATTATGTACGTGGCAGCTTTCAGGGTGGATCCGTGCTGCGCATGATTTTGGAGGCAAGGCCAGAAGTTGACCTGACCAACAGAACATTTCAAAGAATGCGTCAGACATGCTTGGCCCGCTTCCAAGACTGCTGATCTACTTATTTGTACAGCATCACATCTGCTAAAGCTGGCGTGCTGGCCAGTTGTGTCAGTGCGACGTCAAGATCCGGTGACAGTTTTCCCCAGCTGCTGGCGGATGTATGAAGCTCGGTGCCATAAAAAGCAGGTGCAGCGGAGCGGGGCATCACTGCATAGGCCAGGCTACAAACTCACAGTGAAAGAGCAACCAGAATGGCACAAGAACGACAGGAGAGTTGTCCGGCTGTTCTGTCTGCTGATCTACAGCTCTCTCTCTCTCTCTCTCTGCTGTCGTTGTCTCGTGTCTCTTTATCCTCGCAGCATCCGTGCGCGGATGCCGTAGCTAGGACCCACAAAGCCCCGGACCGGCACCGCAAGCGTAGCCATTTTCCATCGTACTGTTAGTTTGGCTGTCTTTTTTGTTTCTCTATCGCTAAATTCTTGATGTGTCCGCTCAGCCGTCGGGCAACCTCGAGGTCTTGCGGTAGGTTGAACGGCTGCCTGTTCAGCCTTCGTTGAATTTTCTGCCAGACGTGTGCCACGTGATACTCAAAGCAGTTGCTTAGTTGTGTATGCGCAGTGAGAGGATTCCCGCGCACATTCAAGCCTTTCTCATGTTTCATCCACATGCAAACTGTCATATGTGCTTGCGCCACCCGAGCCCACAGCTTCAAAAGGCAGCACAGCATACATCAGATTGCAGCAAGCACACAAGAATGATAATTCCGTGTTGGGATGCTTGAGCCTGGTGCCTCTACAACAGGTGGCGTGACCTTAACCCGAGGACCTTCACCCCCGCACCTCTTGCAAGGTGCACCAGGCTCCGTATCACACAATGCTGCGGACTCAATGGGTCCCGCATGTCTCAGTTGAAAAGCTGCCACATCAGGTTGCCACGCTTCCAGTGGATTGCTGAAAACGTGGCCAGTGCATTTGGAAGAGAAGCTCTGCTGCACTTCCAACATGTTGTGGCAAGAGTGCTTCCAGCAACTCGCGAGCCAAGGAGGAGGAGAATCAGATCAGAAAAGTCGAAAGCATGGAGCTCGGATGGCTGATTTTGCACATGTCTTCCCCAAAGTTGCCCTTTGACAGGCTTGATTCAGGAAAACCTGAACTACAAAAAGCTGACAGAGTTTCTTGTATGCAGACTTACTGTTCAAGTGCGCGGCGGATAGCAGCAGGTAGCTTTGCTCGCAGGTTCCTCGAAGGAAGGACAAAGCAGCTGCGAACCTAAAGCTCTAGCCGGCGACGAGGAAGGCGTGCCTGCATGGCATCTACCATCCAAGGCAACACATCTTCTTCTTCTACCAGCGCCCTGATGCCACCAACGAGCACAATGAGATTATAGATGCTGACAAGGACAGGTGGAACGACAAGATTCAGTTGAGGATTGAGGCCATTATAGCCTCAGGCGTACATGCTTTAAATTAAAGCCGGGAGGACTGCAAGTTCACCATCACAACGGGCGAGAACGAGCGAATCAAAAGCCTTGCAGCATTGGACTTGGACTTCGCAGTATCGGTCGACATCGGCGATTTGGTTCACGACCTGAGGTGTACTTCCTGAGGAATGTGCCGTCAGAGCCTAAGTGCGGGCCAGGTTCGAGAGGCAGTCGAGCAACTCACAGAGTCGTAGACCTAGCGCAGGCAAGACCGAGCTATCAAAACAGACGTGTTCTCGGACCAGGATGCTACGCTTCCAGTGGCAAGGCGTGGTCTTCGCGAAATCCCCGCCAGGAGCTCCTCTTTGGCGAGGTGACCCCGAATCCACTGGAGAGCCTCAGCCGGATCCTTGGAGTGTAGGAGACCTCGAGTACCGTTTCTTCGTAGCAAGCTTCACTGTACCCCAGCTGCTGCAGAGCAGGCACCACCCTCGCGACGGTTTTCCAGCCGATTGCGGCGAGACAGGTGGTTTGTATGACCACATGCTCAGGAGAATGAAAGCTTTGTGGGAAATGTGCAGGAAGCCAATTGGGGACAATGCGACGAAGAGCAGAAGGCATCCATCTGATCATGTGGCTCGGTGTGTGTGCTTCTAGTGCGCATGTGCTTTGTCAGACCGACTTCCTGACAAACTTCGAGAAATTCACGCGTGAGTCCCAGGACTCCGCAAAGCGGCTCAAGTGCACAAAGCGGCTAAGGGACCCTCGGATGTTCGGAGCAAGCAAAATTTGTGGGTTCCAGATGCTTCGAGGGTGGAGCTCTCGGAGTCGATCTCGGCGCTGAGCGGCGGCATCGCTGATGCCTCAGAGCTGCCCAAACCCATTCCGATTCCCCAACTTTGCTAGGAATCCAAACGGGCTCGAAGTGCAGAACCAGCATCGCAAGAATTCGCACGAGGAGCTTCTGCAAAGCTCAAAACAACCCGTCGTTCAATTCCGAAGCCGATGCGCATGTGTCGGATGTTGCACCGTTCATCGGGCCAGCGCTCGGTTCTTTGACCTCCAAGGCCCCTCGTCACAGCTCTGCATCCTACAAGCATCCATCTTTTCTTTGCAAGCTTGTTCGAGATGCTGATGATTGATGTTTGAGACGGAATCTTGCCTTGAGCAGCCTCTTGACTTCATGCAGTCCTTCGACAGTTGCGAAAGCACGATCCAATTTTGGCACAACCAATGTTTACACACCCTCCGGTAACCTCATTTTCATGAATGACCCGCACCTTTCTTGCACCCAAGGTCCTGCAGAAGGACTTGCCTTCGGTCTGGTGCTTGCTGTGCTGGGCAGTGCTTCTGTAAGCTCGACCTGTCCCAAGGGCATGTGGCTGGACCCTGCCAGCCCGCAATACCAGGACAGGCCAGAACTGCAACTCGTCGAGGCTTTGCTGAATGCTCATTTTCTTGTCAACTTATCTGCTGGATCAACTGAACCGCTGCTTTAGGCCTTACTCCTATCATGGCGGATCAATTTCCACAGACCGGACGAGCCAGCACTGTCTTCTCGGATAAATGCTACCCCAGACTGTCCAGCAGAACCTATTTCTTGCACCTTGATGGTAGATGCGCGAGATTCCCACATCACCGAGAGTTACCTAGCAAAGACAGCAAGACGTAAAGCATCCACCATCTAGCCAAAGCGGTATGCCGCCGCTGATAAGGCTAGCATCGTGTTGCTGGACATGTGTTTCACTATGTTTCACTAGAGTTTGCTCCTGAATAGGCCAAAGTGGCATCTCGGTCTCTGGTTGCTCGTGGCCGTTGTGGCCGGCTCGGAAGCAAACTCGACAGAGGCGGCGAAGCATACAAGTCTGATGTGGCATCACGGCCCCACTCTTTCTTCTTTGTTGCTCGTTCGTTGCTTGGGATGTGATGCCACGAGGAGCAGGGCTCCGCCGCAACTACTGCACAGGCACCTGAGCCAACTCTGCATGAGTTACCCATGCTTTTCAGTCCTCACTCATGTTGGGGACACAGGGCGCAGAGAGTTGGGTGGCCGTTGATACTGTGACCGGCCCAGGTGGAGACCGCGGAGACGGGCGAATCAGTTCCCACAGCTGCGGAAGCCCAGAATGACTCCGCAGATTCGGATTCTTCTGGGGAGTTCGAAGCTTCGTTGCAATTCTTCATCTCCTGCAAACCTTGGGTTCCAGATACCATGCAGCTCAGGTTCTTCCGGACAAGTCGGCATGTCAGCTCTGCCCGGTTCGACTAGTCGAAGTGGCCTCCAAGGATGGGTGGGACATGCCATGATCCGCTTGACCGCTGAGTCTTGATACCGTGACTTGAGGATGATGAGGCTGGAGAAGCCACTCGAATCTCATGGGTTGAACCGCGCAGTGCTTCGCTATGTCGAAGCACCGTTCCTGAGGCGGGTGCAGCAGGACTTCATCTAAGCGAAGCTGGGTTGGAGTACTTGGCTGCTCAACGTCACTCGGTGGAAAGGAACCGGAGTCTAATTATTTCGGTTTTCCAGCCCGAAACAGTTCTGCAATGTTCGTCAAACAACAGGGCTGGGTTTTGCACACTGAGGCTCACCGCTTTTCCTCGCTGGGGTCTCAATTTTCACCTGTGGCATTCAGACATCTTGCATGAACACGCTGCGATGCAGGTGCCTGCGCTTGGTGTTTACCGTGGTGGGAAGTCGCTGTTGCTTAACCGCTTGATGGGGCTCAAGGTGCACAGATTGCTCATCGACTCGTGCTGCAAACGAAGACGTGTGTCACTTGTGACGATGTCCTCGGAGGCACCTTACGAAGGTGGCTTTGGTGTGGGGCACGGGCAGCAGACGTTTACGAGGCAAGAAGTTCCCGACATTCCAGCAAACGTGAGCGCATCGGATCGTTTCGGCTTTCCAGGGGGATTGACATATGTGCTGAGCCTATCTCCTCTGGTGGAACAGTGGCGCTTGGCCAGAATATTCCCACAAAAGAGTGAGGTGTGCTGTCTAGACATCAGGTATGGATGGACACAGAAGGCCTCTTCTCCTCCGAGGACAGTCTTTTGGTAGTTCGAGTCCGATTTCTGAAACTTGGCAGTGTGAGACTGTGAGAGGGCAAACTGCGGCTAGAAGTGGCTGCGCAGGATGCTCGAAGCTCTTATGGACCCAAGATCTTCAGCTTGGCTCTATTATTCTCCTCCGCCCCTCTACATGAGAGAGGCATAGCATGTCTTTGGTATCACATCGGGTGAATTGTTGTTGGCCGTGTCCAAGCCCCCCCCCCCCGCCGACGTTGACTGTCTCGCTTGCCCGCAAAAGCCAAGGCGGTGTTGCTTAACAACCTCAAGGTCCTTATTCCGTTTTCCGTGTTGTGTTTCCAAGCAGGACTTCAGATGTTCGTAGGTGCTCAACCAGCAGTTCTTCGTCTTCTTCGAGGAGCAACAACAGGCTTTCA